CTCATTACTTGTGGAAGTGAGGCTCAATGTCTCCAGCTGCTCCACCACCTTCCCTTCCCTTGGTTTGCTTGGGGAGCCCGAGCAAGCCGGCTGCTGGAGGGAAGGAGAGGTGGTTTAAACCACCTTCCCTTCCCTTGGCTTGCTCAGGATCCCCGTGGCTGCAGAGAGCCCAAGCAAGCCGGCTGCTGGAGGGATGTGCATTCGGTTCGTCTGAACCGAATGCACCCCCGAAAATGGCCCATTCGGGCCCTTTTCAGGCTGCCGCGGGCCGAATCAGATTCTCTGATCTGAATCGACTTCCCGCAGTTCGGCCCCATCATATCCTATGGGCCATTGAAGTCAATGGCAAAAACGTAGGGTATATTCTGGGGGCTGGAGGAGAAGGGGTTTGAGGGAGAGGCTCCAAAATCGCAGGGTAGCTACTGGAGCCTCTCCCCAAGATACCCGCCATGTTTCAGGAACATTGAACCAGGGGGTGCAATTCTACGGCCCCCCAAACAGGTTGCCCCCATCCCCTCCATTGTTCTCTATGGTGGGGAAGTTACTAAAAGTAGAGCTCATCACTAGACCTGGAGTCTGCTCATCCATGGAACCCACTATTCAACACTACTCCTACTCCTTATGGAGCTTACTCCCCTGCACAGGTGAAGCACCCACAGCTTGGATATGGGGAGGAGCTACATAATTTGTTTTAATTATTGTATGCTGTTGGGCTTGGTTTTACTCTCTTGTTGTTATGTTTTTAGAACTTTGTAAATCGCCTAGAGCCCCACAACTGTGGGAATAGGTGATCAATAAATGGAAATAAATAAATAAAAATTAACAAAATAACATTTGTTCTGTGGGGGGGGGGTTGTTTGTTTCTTAACACAGGGGTCCAGAGCAAAGTTCCCTCTAAGCTGAGTTAGTGTGAGCTAGCTCACAGTTTTTTAGCCTCCAGCTCACGTATTTGTCTTAGCTCAGGAAGGATGGCTCCAGAGCAAACTAATTTATGCAACAGCCAAATCACTCACTCACAACTTCAATGCTAGTAGCTCACAAAGTAGAATTTTTGCTCACAAGACTCCACAGTTTAGAGGGAGCATTGGTCCAGAGAGGACCAGGCCACTTCCAGCTTTTGAGATGCCCAGAGGTAATTTGAAAAAATGCTGACATGCCATTATAATGACCTGTTGAGGCAATGGCTAGTCCACAGATTTTTTTATGTAGTTCTGTAGCTCTTTTCATTTCAAAGTTATGAAGGGAACTGTATTGACTGCACATTTCTCTTGATAACTCTGGAAAGAAAAGGCTTTTTTCTGACTAGCATTCACTTTGGACCAGGCGGTGTCTAGCTCTTATGATTTTTCAGGTGATATTTCAGGAAGGGTGTTTATGGTTTTCTAGCTATAAACTCCCCCTCAGTGAGAGGAGGGGTCTGACTGCTAACATCCTCCATACTCCACATTCCCCGACAACATCCACAACCATCCTTGCAGAATGAGGACAAGGCCTTGGCTTCATCTTTGCCTCGTCTCTCTTTCCTTTGCTCCCCATCTTCAGCCTCCTGTCATGAGGCTCCTTCCATTACACCCCCCCCCCAAAAAGGCACTTCCTCTCTGTCCAAAGTTTCATTCCTCCTCTGGTCATCTCTCCTCTTGCAACCTTCTCTGCTCTCGCCCTGATATTCCAAAGTCCCCTTTGAGCCACCTTCCGTCTGGCACTCTGCTGCCAAAATCCTCCACCTCTCTCTTCATTCTGAACAAGTGACATCTCTCCTTAAATCCCTCGATTTATTTCCTTTCCCTAGATCCTGCAGAAACTCCTTGATCCTGCCCTTCAAAGCCCTCCAGGGCCTCTCCTCACTTTGTACTTCTCTGCTCTTATATCCAGACACAGCCACCATCTCCTATAGGAGGTGGTGACACAGCCCTGTTCCTGACCTTCAGGTTCATCACTCTGCCTCCCCAAGACCTCCTGTGTCCTCCAACAACTCCTCCCTTCTTGCCTCCCAAGAACTCCTGCATGACCCCACCTCTCTCACTTCCTTCCCTTAAAGGTCCTCCTTTTCCCCCGAACCCTTTGGGACTCCTCCTCCAAGTTCCATTTCTCTGCAGAAAGTGGAATGAACATACATTCTTCCCATTTATCCCTGCCACCACCTTCCTCACCTTCTTTATGGCAAAGATTACATTGCAAATTCATCGGGGCAGAGACCAAGGTTTGAAGATCCTCAATCTGCCACGGAAACCATGGAGAGTGACCTTGGGCCAGTCACACAACCTCAGCCAGGTGTAATTCACAGGACTGTGATTTGTGGGGATAAAATGGAGGCCTGGAGAATGAAATCAGGCACTCTGGGGATAAATGAAGTCAGTCTATGATGAGCTAAAGTTGATACTAGATAAAAGAAATAATTTCAGAGGAATTACTGATGCTGTTTTCAGTAAGAAAGGAGATAATTTTTCACAGATCCTTCGGTAGGAACGGGAAAGGCACTTGTTTATATGTCTGATTCTGGCTGCAGTTCACAAAAAAGGACAATCTTTCTGTTGCTACATCAGATATTGTTGTAACTTTTTTTGATAGGAGGCTCATTCAGTATTTAAAACGCCGTTAAATATTGTGGGTGCAGCAACCTATGGGGTAGGTGACTGGAACAGACCTCTGGTCAATAGAAGGGATGGGCATCTTTGGGTGCATCTCCAGGTCCTTCTCTCCCTCCGTTCTGGCTGTTGGGAGAAAGGAGGGACCCTGGATTCCCCCTTCCCTCTCCCTCTTGCGGAGGTGGGACATTGGCATCTCTCTAATTCCAAGCTTGGCACCCATGTGTATCAAAAAAGTCCAGAGACTGGGGGCCAGGTATACACAGGAGATATGTCCCTACCAGCCCAGGGCCACCCCCTCCCCCAGGTTTGCAGAAAAATCCAAGAGCGAAAATTACAAATCTGACATTTTTAGGAAAAGACTGAGAACTCGTGAACCTGTTGTGAAATCTCGACTTCCAGTTTGAGAAGGAAGGAACAGCTGCCAGCAGACCTCGGCAGGCAAAGGAGATGCAAGACCTGCTTCCGTCACCCACCACCATCTGAGCCAGGTGGGTGGGTGGAAGAGATGGAGCTGCCGCAACCCCAGCCCTGCAGGCAGGCAGGCGGAGGAATGGGAGCTCCTGCTGCCCCATGCCATCGCCCTGTAAGCCAGACCGGTGGAAGCAGTGGCCTCATACGTGGGAAGGGGCAGGCAAGGGAGGGAGGGAAGGAGACCCATCGTTTCCCTCTCAGCACTGCATCAGTGAGGCAGGCGACGGCAGCACATTAGGTTGACAGGGTGGCTGTTCAGGGGCCAGCACTGCAAGCAGGGGGATAGGATGAGAACCCCCCCCTCAGTCTTATGGGTCCCCTGCTTGTTATCACCAGGTTTTCCTGAAATGTAGCTGACACATTCGTATGGCTGCACACTGTGGTAGACTTGAACTGATGAGGCCTGGGTTCAAATTCCTGCTCAGCTATAAGATTGCCAGCCTCCAGGTGCGGCCCAGAGATCTCTCCCAGAATTACATCTGACCTCCAGACAACATAAATCAGCCCCCCTGGAGAGAATGGCCGCGTCAGAGGATAGACTCTATGGCATTATGCCCCACATGGTCCCTCCCCTCCCCAAACCCCACCCTCTAAAGCTCTGCACTCAAACTCTGCAGGACCTTCCCAGTCCAGGGCTGCCAACCCCAGCTACGAAGCTCACTAGCTCTTGGTCTGACTTCCCCCACAGGGTCATGGTGAGTAGAAAATACGAGCACCCCATTCCCTGGAAACAAAGGAGAGTGAGACAGCTGTGGGGGTGAAAAGGACCTATAATGATTTGAAAAGAGAGACATAAAAACAACAGGAACAGAAACCTTTAATGCAAGTATAACCCAGCAGAACTCTGCCTACACAAATCCACCTCCTGATTTTTCTCTCCAACGGCAGAGTTCTGGATGGATCAAATTAATAAACGACAGCACCTTTTGTGGGTCGTCTGGCAGTTATGAAATGGCTCCCCCCCCCAAAAAAAAAAAAACCACCCAAATCAATCATCACAGTTTTCAAGGTAGCATCTCTTTATTACAATCAGAAAATCTTTTCAACCTCTGATATAATTGAAACACAAGTGCTATGAAAACAGCAACCTGGATACGGACAGGATCTTCAGTGCCCTTCAGAAAGGGTAGGCTGAACATGGGCAAATCCTAACAAATGATGCCCATTAAAGCAAAGGAAAGAAACAGTCCTGAATAGTAATTTAAACGTGCAGGGCCTCATTTTCCTCTGTAGGGGTCCCTCCCATGCTTGAGGAAAATGGAGGCTGAAGAGGGCCCAGGGGGGTTGTGTGTGGAGCTCTCCTTTAGAACCAGCCTGTTATTCTTTATAATGTGAAAGGCATTGTCACTTTCAGAAATGATACAAAAGGAGGAAAAGGAATGTTGGGAAAGGGAGAGGAAAAAAGTCTCCATTTTACTCAGGACACTTTTGGTGGCTGGGAGCCCAGAGACTCAAAAAAGGGGGGCTCTTGAGAAATAATATTTTCTTATCGATGGTCCTGGAGTGGAGAAAAATTCTTAAGAGATTTCGAGGTGGCCTTTTGAATGCAACCAAAAGAAAGGCAGGAGGGTCTCTCCAGAGAAGGAGGCTCCACAGAACTCGTAGAGAAGGGCTGCTCGGTCAGCGTCAAAAAAGGCCACTCGACACCCAGTGTAGTTCAGGCACACTCGGATCCTCTTCAGCTCCCTGGTCAGGGCCTCGAAAGGGTCAGGGTCTTTTTCAGAAGCCCTGAATCTGCCTCCCCACTTCCCCACCTCCCAGAACCCTTCCTCAGGACTAAAGGTGATGCCTCCCTTCCTCCTCACAGACTTTCTGGCCACCCCCACAGCCCATTCTCCCTCACTTCCCACAAGGACTTCCCAGAAATGGCGGCCTGCTGGGAATCCCTCACGGCCCAGCACAGCACCAAATGTGTCAAATCTCTCAGGATTGTTGGGCAGGGCTTGAGTTTTTTCTCCATCTCTCACGCTTTTCTGACCCTCAGACAGGATGAGTCCGGGATGGGCCGTGTCTGGATCCCTCTCCCTATGGGGGGGGGGGGGGGGAGGGGGAATGAGAAGAGAAATGGCATCAGCTGGGGGATTTCATTCTCTGGCCTGCTCTGTTTCCTTCTCTTGCCAGCCATGGCCTGCTCCCATCTCTGCCACCCTTTCCTAGATTCAAAGACTCTCCTGCCCCATTAAAAGGCAGGGCATTCTTCCTGTGTGCTTCAAGAGAAGGCAGGCTAAGTACACAATAAGCACCCAGAGGAACACAATCTATTCCCTCCCATATCCTATCCCAAGCAGAGAAGAAAAGGAAGAAATGACTGGTTATTTTAGTCAGTGGTGTGGGGGTTGTAAGAAAGCTCACACATGAAAGGGCTTTTACACAACCAACCAAAATGAGCAGAGGCATAAAACAGGCTGAGTGTGTCAAGTGGCTTTCAGTTCTGAAACTAGACACAGCTCAAGGGAGGTAATATCACCTAATTTGGCTTTAATTGATTGCATTACATTGGTGTTCCCCATTGCTTTCAGCCTGCCAGGCAGCTGTGTTTCTTCACTGGCAATTCAGGGCCGTCTTGGGTGGAATTGGGACGGTTTTTATGTGTCAATGAAAGAACGAAGTTCAGAGGACATGGACTGATACAGCTGCCCAAGAAATGTGCCATAAGATGACATCATAGCAGCAATAAAGGGAATCTAAATGCCCTGCTTGCCTTCTTCAAAGGATGTAGGTGAGATTAGACCTTGAAACCACGGCCTGAAGAAGTAAGACCCACCCACCAAACAAGAGGTGTCCCCAGGTCAGCTGGGATCCAGACAAAAGGCTCATTCATGCACAGGGCCAGGGCAAAGGCAAGACAGACAAATGAAATGAGAATAAAAAGCCTCTACTTTATGCCCAAATACCTGTGATGGCCTGATTCTATTCAACCAATCAAATGTATAGCAAATGATGGAAGTTGACCATCAGGCCTGTTGCTAAGCAGGTGATTTTACCAATCAGAGGGGTCTGCCAATTAACCCAAAAGTCCTGCAGCTGTGAGGGTTCAACTGAACAAACACCCTTCTCCCACCCATGAGCTCAAACACTACTGAGATGGAATGCGCCCTCCCAAGCCAACACTCTGTGTCACACAGTGGCCAATACCCAGGTGCCATCAGGAAGTCCACCAGTGGGGCTAAAACTCCAGAAGCCTTCCCACTGTTCCCCCTCCAAGCCTTCGTCTTCAAGCAGTCTTGGTACGCCCCCTTCGTTGGAGAGTCTACGTAACTTGTGGGAGATAAAACTGCCAAAGCTCTGTCGTGCATTGGTATTGTTCATAGGCAGACTCTGAAGTTTCCTGTTTTGTACTCTTTTTGGAAGAGATTTGGCCTACAAAGGATGGATATGGGCAATCAAATAAGGATACAGCCTTTTCCAAAACAAACAAACATTATTTAGTTATCAGTGACAATGAACAGTCAAGGAAATCAAACCAGTGTGTGCGTTAGGGGCTGTCAATCCCTTATAGTGACACCACTTATAGTGACACCACGGGGCTTTCGAGGCAAGGGAGAAGCAGAGTGGGTTTGGCCATCGTCTTCCTCTGCAGAGCCTTCCTTGGAGGTCTCCCAACTACTGACCCTACTTAGCTGATAACTTAAGGCCACCCCAGCAAGGGGCTTCCAAGGCCAGTGAGAAGCAGAGGAGGTTTGCCATGGCCTTCCTCTGCAAAGTCTTCCTTGGAGGTCTCCCTTCCAAGACTTATGGTGACCCCAGCACGGGGCTTCCAAGGCCAGCGAGAAGCAGAGGTGGTTTGCCATGGCCTTCCTCTACAAAGTCTTCCTTGGTGGTCTCCCTTCCAGGTCTTATGGTGACCCCAGCATGGGGCTTCCAAGGCTAGTGAGAAGCAGAGGTGGTTTGCTATGGCCTTCCTCTGCAAAGTCTTCCTTGGAGGTCTCCCTTCCAAGACTTATGGTGACCCCAGCAAGGGGCTGTCGAGGCAAGGGAGAAGCAGAGGTGATTGGCCATTGCCTTCCTCTGCAGAGCCTTCCTTGGTGGTCTCCCTTCCAAGTACTGACCCTGCTTAGCTTACAACTTAAGGCAACCCCAGCAAGGGGCTTTTGAGGCGTGAGAAGCAGAGGTGGTTTGCCATCACCTTCTTCTGCAGAGTTCTCCTTGATAGTCTCCCTCCAAGTACCGATCCTGCTTAGCTTATTTATCATATGGCAGAAGTACACAAGAGGTACTCTTGAGAGTCCCTTGGATCAAATCAGTCAATCCTAAAAGTAATCAACCCTGACTGTTCCCTGGAAGGCCAGATAATGAAACTGAAGCTCAAATACTTTGGCCACCCAATGAGAAGGGAGCACTCACTGGAGAAGAAGACCCTGATGCTGGGAAAGATTGAAGGTCAAAGAAGACGGGGACGGCAAAGGATGAGATGGTTAGACAGTGTCATAGATGCAACGAACATGAAATTGAGCAAACTTCAGGGGACAGCGGAAGACCGGAAGGCCTGGCGTGATCTGGTCCATGGGGTCGCAAAGAGTCGGACTCGACTGTGCAACTGAACAACAACAAAGAGGTACACAGGGGAAGCATAAAATAACGTGAAATATGTAACAAAGTTGTTACAAGGGGCATGCAAAACGATTGGGCAATCCCCCTAAATACTAATATCTAGATTTTCAATCCACTCAGTGCATTCACTGAGCATTCAAAGAGCTCCGTCACATCTCCCTGGAAAGCATGATGCTCACATTCCTGTCACAAACAGAAAATAGTTTGGTGGGCAGCACCACTATCGCATTCAGGTCCTTCCTAGTATTTTGCCCCATTTAAACAACAGGTCTGCTTAGCTTTCCAGATCTGACAAGACTGGGGCCTGCTATACCATCCCACATCACAATTAAACCAGTATGGAATGGTAAACCAGAAAATGTCGATGAACAGATTAAGTCTTATTTCAGAAACATAAACAAAACAAAGCAATTGCTCTTTAATAGATGTAGAAGATATGGTAAGAAGTTATTCACATGAATATGTATGGACAATGATACAAGGAATCAACAATATAAACAGCATCTATAATCCTTTGAAGCAGTGTTCAGCCGTTCAATGGGATATTGATATTCTGTTTATATTCTTTTATATATTTTTTCCTTTGTATTTTATATGTTTGGTAGTGGAAAGCTCCATCAAGTCACAGCCGACTTGTTAAGTCGCTTGCTTAACAAAGAAGTCGGAGAGTGATTCAGCAAGAACACAACTTGATTCTTCAACTCGAACACAACTCCAACACGGATCAACATCTGATAGCCAGAACAGAACGATTCAGGTTCTACATTGCAGTTCCCCTGCTTTTAAACTCTTCCGGCTAATGTAGCCACACCCACTGTACAAATACCAACCAATACGGTTGTTCAGATAAGGACCAATCATGGACGTTCCCGCTCAGGGAGCTTGCTGTAAAGTGATTGGCTAGGTGCTTCCTGGGCTAGCAATACGATTGGATGGATTTGGATCCTAGCCTAGGACGAAGCTTAACATAGCTTTTCAATCAGATGTTTCACAATACCTAATGCATTCAACGGCAGCTGATGAATACATTACAATTCTCATGGCGACCGGGTAGGGTTTTCAAGTCAAGAGACGTTCAGAGGTGGTTTGCCATTGCTTGCCTCTGTGTCATGACCCTGGTATTCCTTGGAGAACTCCCATCCAAATACTAACCATGGCCAACCATGCTTAGCTTCTGAGATCTGACAAGAGAGGGTCAGTCAGGGCTATTCATAACTCATAAATATAATGTGGATTTCATGTGTTCGTAAAATACGTCCCCCGACTGGAAAATGCTTATTCATATTTGTAATCTGCCTTGCGTCCCTGTGAGAAACGTAAGCTGTAAGTGAAGCTGAGCTTCCGAGAGCTGATGAGCCTTCTGACTGGCCTTTGGAGAGTTGCTTGGTTGTGCGGATTATTAAAATGTTGCTTTGGCGGCAGCTACCGTCACAGCTCAGGGATCTTCACTGTGTGACTGAAGGTAAGCTTCGGCAGCCATTTTGTGGCTGGCCCTGCCCTCCACGCCAGCTATTCTCTGGCAGCCATTTTGTGGCTGGCCCTGCTCCCCACAGCAGCTATTCTCTGGTAGCCATTTTGTGGCTGGCCCCGCCCTCCATATCCCCTCCTGAAGCTGTCTATGCTTGTATAACAGAAATATATAAAGGATCGGGTTCCCTCTCAGATAAACTGATTCGTATATGAAGAAAAATTTACCTTTCTGCAGGTGAAGTCCAGAATCCAGAGTGTCTGAGGAAGCAAAGGAACAGAAAGTGAGCAACAACAGACCCTTGTGCTTATCACAAATCTTGTGACAAAAGTATCAGTTAATGACTAGAGAACAGTAACAGAATAATTTTGATTAATCCACGTAATACAATTCTGAATTCACAGAATTCAGACCAGAACACTTTCCAAGGTGAACTAAAATGGTCTTGTGAATTGGTAAATATGTTCCCCTCTTTCCTTGGTCTGCTAATGATATAAGCAGCCCGGAGCAGACTAAAACACATCTGGCCCACTCCAATGTCCAGTCTGAAACTCCTACAGTGTTTCTTCAGTACCTTTGAGTTGCTTCTCGACGCCCTCCAGAAGGAAATTTAAATCCAAAAAGTCCCAGATGCTCCACTTCAGTGCAAGAGGAAAAGCTGCTGGATTTGCAAATGGCTCCTTTTCTTCATACCTGGAGAAAATCCCGTTAAGGTACCATTCATCCTATTCAGAATACCCCCACTAGTGGAACAGAAAAAGGAAAGGGTAGGAAGCCTAGAGACACAGGATGGTGCTTAAAGCACAGAAAGATGGGGACTCTTTGGAGAGGAATGCTCACACTGTAGCTCCTACTTTGTTAACAACTGGACCTTGGTTCTGCACAGACACACAGCAGGTGCAGGGAATGGCTAAAGGTAAAGGTTCCCTTGCTCAAAAGCCAGTCGAGTCCAACTCTAGGGTTGCAGTGCTCATCTCCGTTTCAAAGCCAAAGAGCCAGTGCTGTCCGAAGACGTTTCCGTGGTCATGTGGCCAGCATGACTAAACACCAAGGCGCACGGAACGCTGTTACCTTCCCACCGAAGCGGTACCTATTTATCTACTTGCAATTTCTTTCTTTCGAACTGCTAGGTTGGCAGGAGCTGGGACTAGAGACAGGAGCTCACTCTGTCATGCGGCAACTCGGGTCTCGAACTGCTGAACTACCGACCTTCTACAGCCTGCAGTTCAGTGTCTTAACCACTTGAGCCACCGCAGGGAATGGCTACCACAGAATAAAACAGAGCCCTGTTGGGCTCAGATTGTCACCACGGTGGTGGTGGGGGAGGCACCAGCCGTTTTCCCACACCGAAATAGCACTGGGGAGGTAACGTGCCAATTTTTACTGCTACGTGTGGAGTATTCTGTGCATGTCGAACAGCAAAAACTGGGAAACTTCCTGCCCCAGTGCTGTTTTGGCAGTAAAAAATGTCCAGGGGAAGGGGAGGCAGAAGCCCTTCCTCTCCTAGAGCGGCATTTGAGGCTTAAACAGGGTTTGGTTTATTTTTTAAACAGCCATTCCCTGCAGCTGCTGTGTGGCACTGCAGAGCCCAGGCCAAACTCTTTAGAAAAGCAAAACATCTAGTTTGCTCTAAGAACAGCCACCCCACATCCCCTGCTCCTCTCTGTCTTGTAAAAGTCTAGGTAAAGGGGGGGGGGGAGTTCTGGACTAGGACTGTAGAACCCTGGAACAATCCCACTCTCAGCCACGCAGCTCACTGGGTAACCTCAGATCCATCTCTCTTTCAGACAGGGTTGTTGTGAGAAGAAAATGGAGGAGGGCCGAATCAGGTACATCACCCTTTTCCTCCCTCTCCCACAGTACTAGAACTGAGGGGTATCCAACAAAGTTGTTGAAAATTCACCACAGGCTGAAGTATTGATGGCCACCAGTACAGAGAGCTTTAAAAGGGGATTAGACAGATTCATTGAGGAGGGGTCCATCAATAGCTACTAGACTCAGGGACTGAAGGGAGCCCCCATATCCAAAGAAGCAGAAGAGGAGATTGGATTTATAACCCGCCCTTCACTACCCAAAGGTGTCTTAGAGCGTCTTACAAACTCCTTTGCCTCCCCCTCCCCACAACAGACACCCTGTGAGGTAGGTGGGGCTGAGAGAGCTCAGACAGAAACTTCTCTTTTTTCAAGGACAGTTCTTATCAGAACTACGGCTTGCCCAAGGCCATCCAGCCAGGTGCAAGTGGAGGAGTGGGGAATCAAACCCGGTTCTCCCAGATTAGAGTCTGCGCACTTAACCACTACACCAAACTGGCTCTCACCAACTGGACCATATCCAAAGGCAACAAAACTCTGAGCACCAATCCTAGGAGGTAGCAGCAGGGGAGGGCCTTGGCCTCTGTGCTTGGTTTGACTGGCCCTCCAGGACAACTGGGTGGCCACTACATGAAACAGGATGCTGGCCTAGATGGACTACAGGTCTAATCCAGCAGGCTTTTCTTATGTTTGTAAGAGTGTGGCGGATACATAAAGGAAGAAAACATGTCACGTGACATCACAGTACCCAGATATGCCCATACTTCTCCTCCTTTTAATAATTTGCCGCTTGTGGGGCAGCATGGAAATTTGAGCCTAATAATGTCACATGACAAATTCTTCAGCTAGGTCTATCTAGGGAGAGGGATAGAAAAAACACGACGTTTCTGATCAACAGCCATGGATTCCCCCTAATGGGTTGTTCTAATTAAGAACACTTGCTTTCGAGACCTCTGTTGTTACCAGGGCTGCCCATGCAGTGCAGTGGCAACATGGCTTCCGGATAGTGGCTTTCTTGCCCGAATGGCTGATGTGAAGAAGGTCAAAAAGCACACATGGGTAGGGGAATTACTGCCGTTCCCACTTCCTCACAGTACTGAATGAAGGACAAATTGCTAATGTGGAAACAATTGAGTTCCAATGGAAATATAAGCCACACATTTAAATGCCACATGGTTGCAGGAAACTGATGGAAACATGGCAGACATGCCAACTCCTGCTTCCTGATCTGTAACCTCACCCTGCCCTCCTTAACACACAGAGCTCACTGGTTTGGACTGGGTGGTCATCATCAGAGTGGGCTGGGAGGACATCCAAGTGCCCCGTAGCCATTCCTGATGCCAGTCAAGGCACTATTCCGGCCAAGTAACGTTTACCACCAGCCATTTTGTGGAATGTATGTCACTGACGAGACTCAAACTCTGTTTCCTGGGGAATTTTGTAAAAAGGTTGCTTTGGCAGCAGCTGCCACCACCTCCTGTGACAGCGCCTACCACACCACGTCAGAATTCCAAAAGTGCCTGCAGCCTCCAAAAGGTCGGGGACCCTTGTTCTAGAAAGGCACAGCTAGGTGCCAACACAGGCCCTCCCCCGTGCTATTTCGGCACATGCTTTCCTGTCGATGAGGTCCTGTGCATAAGCTGTTTACCAGTGACAGATGGATGGAGATCCACGCTCTTAGTTACACCTGATTTGGCCCTCGGCCATGATCCTGAAGGACCACGTCCTTCACACACTGCCCAGTCCAATCCCAGCATTAAGAAGGTTAATGTTAAAGGTCCACTTACCTCTTCAAGGTGCTTCTGGCATCCTAAAGAAGAAAGGCAGAGAGAGAGAGAGAAAGGGAGGGAGGGAGGGAGAAAGGAGACCTCAATGCTCGTTATAAGGGCACACCAGACAGACCCCTCAGACCCTGGAAGATTCTGCACTGTGGCCTTTTGCTTGTGTCCAGCTAGCAGACTTCACTCAAAGACTGGGGTACATCTTCAGATGTCAGCAGACAAAGTGGAACCATTTCAGGGTAGAGCTGGGTGATCTGGTTTGACAACTCAACAGTGATTACTTTTCACAAAGGGATGTTCCCTCACACAGAAGGTAGGAAGCCCTCAGATTAGGGTGTGTACCCATTGTAGCCACCTGTGGACGCAAAGGCTTTCCTAGCAGCGTTCCTTGCAACATGATTTCCCTTCTTTTCACTGGAGGGTAGTTCATGTCCCAGGCTTTTTTTTTTTTTTTAAAGATAGATTACACTAGCACTGTAACTACACACACTGATCCCCAGCTTTCATTTTTAAAGTCCTAACTGTTGCAGAGTTATAACTGGAAATGTGCAGCCTGCACTTTACTTCCTTTAAAATAAAAGCTAGGAGTTAGTGCACCAGATTATAATGTCACAACTAGGGATGGGCACAAAGCAGCGTTCCATTTAAATGGCTTTTGGATACGGTGCGAACACCCGGAAGTGAACGTGTACTGTATAGCTTTTAAGGTACTGTACAGATTATGTTTTAGAGGCATTGTTTTACTGTTTTAATGTTGTAAGCCGCCCTGAGCCGCTCCGGCGGGAGGGCAGGATAAAAATCAAATAAATAAATAAATAAATAATAAATGACTATACGTGTGGGGGTAATGGTGAAGGTCAGCTGGAGCAACCAACCTTCAACATTATTCCCCCCTCACACACATAATTCACCTGTGCACATTCACTTCTGGCTGTTTGTGCCACTCCCGAAAGCCGTTTAAAGGGAAACCTTCCAATGTCCCCTGGTTTGTGCCCATCCCTAGTCACAATGCTACAGCAATCTAGCCACTACCCTTTTCTTTAAAGACTGAAAAGAGCCCTGAGATGGGGGAGGAGGACTGAGAGAAGCAGACCCACACTCTGTCACCTTTTAGCCCTTTAAAGGCCCCCCCCCCCCCGTTTTCCCTGCAGTATTGCAAGATGGCTCAGCAATGAAAGCGAAAAGAGGGTCTGGGCATAAATGCCATCACATTTGCAGATGTGCAAACACAGCTATTCCAGGAACAGGTGTATGAATACCATTCCTGTACCACTTCTTGTTGCCACTGTGTGTCTGTGTGCGTTTTTGAGGAGCCACCTGCAAGCAGCCAGTGTAAGTGACATTCCTCACCCCTACAGACATTCTCTTTTTAAAGCTCGCTGTGAAACGTCTTGCTTGTGAGCCTCATTCCTGTTTTGGTTTTTTTTTGAAAGAGCTACCCAGGAACCTGGCTTTACTTGGTTGACATACCAATATACTTTTGATTCTGAGATGGAAGCCTAGCGGCCTCAGTCTATGGGGGAGGGGGTACAGGGCTGTGGGGGGGGGATGCGTTTCCAGGGGGTAGAATTTCACATTGTTTCTTCCAGCCTGCTCCTGGCTGGAGATGTAAAAGGGGCAGAGGGGAACATGTGTGTCCAGGCCCCATTTGTATGAATGTGCTAACAACCCAGGAGGAGTCTCTGACCCCCCCCACCCCCATGCTTGCTGCAAATGTTGATAAGATACCCCAGCGATGCTGAATTCAGCCAAGTGGGATTCAACCACTGCTGATTCTAAGGGGGAAAGTACTTGGGATACTCAGCGGTGTGTAGACTTCCCCCTGCCCCCACCTAAGAGGGTGGCGTTTCACAGGGCCAGACTGATAGTTTCTTCCAGTCTGCCCCTGGCTGGAGATATAAAAGGGGCAGAAGGGAAAGCAGCCCATATCCAGAGGTGAAAACTTTCTAGCAACATAAACAGGGCTTGTCTGCTTTTCTGCTAAGCGAAGGAGGCATTGAGAGGGTCTGGCAGCAGCCTTCTTCCCAAGGGGTACCTCTGGGCTGTTCCCCCCCCCCCTCACCTGCAGGAAATCACCAGCCGGCTGCTGACTCTTCTCCTCCATCTCCTGAATGAGGCTTTCCAGAGAGGAGAGCTCCTTGGAGAGTCTGGCCAGGTGCTGGTCCCTTTTCTTTGCCACCTCCTCCTCCACCTCTTCCATCTGGGCCAGCAGAAGATTCTCTTGTTCCTCCAGAAATGTGTGCAGTTGCCTGAACTTGGCTACTGCCTCTTGCTTCACTCCTTTGGTTTGCTTCTGAAATGGAAAAAGGAAAAAAGCAAGCCAGCATCAGGAACACAGCTGGTCTTTGCAGGGGGGGGAAAGGCACTGTTGGAGGTTCCTATCAGGAGAGCACTTTTTGCCTTTCACAGAGATCCCAATTAACATCGGGCA